GGTATTTATTTACTCTATCTAGCAGATGCCTCCAGACTATGTGAATTTAGACAACCTAAGTCTCAGGTTTTTCTTCTGCAGTGTTATCGACATCATAAGGTTGGTGTAAGGGTTTAAAAAAATAGGCATATTAATTATTCCACATATTCCAAAGGCACATACTCAACATCAAATCAATACTTACTAATAAATAAGAATACAGCATGATGGGCTTCCGTGGTAGCTCAGTGGTAAAGAATCCGCCTGCCAATGCAGTGGTATGAGTTTGATCCCCAATCTGGGAAGATCACACATGCCTGGGAGCAAGTTAGCCTGTGCACCACAATCCTTGAGTCGGTGCTCCAGAACCTGAGAGCCAAAACTCCTGGGCCCACGTGCTGCATCTGCAGAAGCCTGCGTGCCCTAGAGCCTGTGCTCCATAGCAAGAGAATCCATGGCCATGAGAAGCCCAGGTCCCACGGCTAGAGAGGAGCCCCTGCTTGCTGCAACTAGAGAAAAGCCATGGCTGCAACAAGGACTCAGGACAGCCAGCAACAAATAAATAACTAAAACCATTAAAAGCACACCGTGTGGCCATAAAAACGAGTCTCCCTTTACCTGTAGGTTGAAATCTTCTTCCACGTTCTGCTCGTCCCTTTGGCGTGCTGCCTCTTCCTCGCACACCCATCCCATGGGGTAGTCATATTCCTACTGTATGACCAGAGACAGCTCTCAGTAACTGTTAGTTAAAAGATATTAGCAATCGAACAGCACATGTTTGAAGCATTTTGTTGTTAAAAGTTTTTTAATGATACTGTTCACCTCCATGACTGGAGTTTCCAGGACCTTCTTCTGGAATCTTTACACTCCTGCTGCACTTCTTCTTTCTAAGGTGCCTAACCCTGTTGTAATTCTACACTTTCTTTCTCTTAAAATATGTACATTCACTAAAGACTTACATAAATGAATAGAAAAAAAAAACCCACCTCAGTTCAGTTCAGTCGCTCAGTGGTGTCCCACTCTTTGCCACCCCATGACTGCAGAATGCCAGGCCTCCCTGTCCATCACCAACTCACAGAGTTTACCCAAACTCATGTCCATTAGTCAGTGATGCTATCCAGCCATCTCTGTTGCCTCTTCTCCTCCTGCCTTCAATCTTTCCCAGCATCAGTTTCTTTTCAAATCTGATATGAGTATTATGACTCCTGCTTTCTTTTGGTCTCCATTTGCATGAAATATTTTTTTCCAGCCCTTCACTTTTAGTCTGTATGTGTCCCTTGTTTTGAGGTGGGTCTCTCAGTCAGCTCTTCACAGTATTGGAGTTTCAGCTTTAACATCAGTCCTTCCAACGAACATTCAGGACTGATCTCTTTAAGGATTGACTGGTTGGATCTCCTTGCAGTCCAAGGGACTCTCAGGAGTCCTCTCCAACACGACAGTACAAAAGCATCAATTCTTCGGTGCTCAGCTTTATTTATACTCCAACTCTCACATTCATACATGACCACTGGAAAAACCATAGCCTTGACTAGATGGACCTTTGTTGGCAAAGTAATGTCCCTGCTTTTTAATATGCTGCCTAGGTTGGCTATAGTTTTTCTTCCGAGGAGCAAGCATCTTTTAATTCCATGGCTGCACTCACCATCTGCAGTGATTTTGGAGCCCCAAAAAATAAAGTCAGCCACTGTTTCCACTGTTTCCCCATCTATTTCCCATGAAGTGATGGGACCAGTTGCCATGATCTCAGTTTTCTGAATGTTGAGCTTTAAGCCAACTTTTTCACTCTCCTCTTTCACTTTCATCAAGAGGCTCTTTAGTTCTTCATTTTCTGCCATAAGGGGGTGTCATCTGCATATCTGAGATTATTGATATTTCTCCTGGCAATCTTAATTCCAGCCTGTGCTTCTTCCAGCCCAGCGTTTCTCATGATGTACTCTGCATATAAGTTAAATAAGCAGGGTGACAATATACAGCCTTGATGTACTCTTTTTCCTTTTGGAACCATTCTGCTGTTCCATGTCCAGTTCTAATTGCTGCTTCCTGACCTGCATACAGATTTCTCAGGAGGCAGGTCAGGTGGTCTGGTATTCCCATCTCTTGAAGAATTTTCCAGTTTATTGTGATCCACACAGTCAAAGGACTTAGCCTAGTCAATAAAGCAGAAATAGATATCTTTCTGGAACTCATGATCCAGCAGATATTGGTAATTTGATCTCTGGTCCCTCTGCCTTTTCTAAAACCAGCTTGAACATCTGGAGGTTCACGGTTCATGTGCTATTAAGTCTGGCTTGGAGAATTTTGAGCATTACTTTAGTAGCATGTGAGATGAGTGCAATTGTGCCGTAGTTTGAGCATTCTTTGGCATTACCTTTCTTAAGGATTGGAATGAACACTGACCTTTTCCAGTCCTGTGGCCACTGCTGAGTTTTCCAAATTTGCTGGCATATTGAGTGCAGCAATTTCATAGCATCATCTTTTAGGATTTGAAATAGCTCAACTGGAACTCCATCACCTCCACTAGCTTTGTTCGTAGTGATGCTTCCTAAGGCCCACTTGACTTCACATTCCAGGTTGTCTGGCCCTAGGTGAGTGATCACACTGTTGTAATTATCTGGGTTATGATGATCTTTTTTGTACAGTTCTGCTGTGTATTCTTGCCACCTCTTCTTAATATCTTCTGCTTCTGTTTGGTCCATACCATTTCTGTCCTTTATTGAGCCCACCTTTGCAAGAAATGTTCCTTTGGTATCTCTAATTTTCTTGAAGAATTCTCTCATCTTTCCCGTTCTATTGTTTGGGGGGAAAAAAAAAAAAGCCAGCCAGATCTGGGTTTAAATATCTATTCTGCCATTGAACTGTGTGACTTTTTCTAATACATTTTTTCCTTTGGGCATCACATGTGTCTAATCAATAAATTAGGAAAATCACCTCATTAATTAATTGAGATTATATAAGCTATTTTAAAGCCCCCCAGTGCTTAGTGGGAAACTCAGTAGCAACTTTCTCTTCTTTCTCATTGGTTTCAAGACATAAATTAGTACCAATCATTTTTGAGGATTTTATTCCACAAGTAATTTGTGACTTGTAACTTTGTACATGCATTTGTGATAGGTGTGACACATCAGTTAAACGTGTGTGGAGGGGAATACTGGTAGGATAAAAAAGGTCTTCCTGGTACTACTATAAACTATCCCTGGAAGCATACAGAAAACTCTGTTTCCCGTAGATATGCCTAATCCTGATTATGGAGAACATAGCTCTACTTAACTTTTTAAAATTCTTCTCAGTTGTTATGGTATTATTTGTACTACATTTCAATTTATATATATAATATATATATATATGATATATATCAACATAAATATTTGCCTGTCACCAACATGTGAAGTAAAAGCAAATTTTGCAAGATGTTTTGTAAGACTTTTATTGTAACTCCTTTTAGCTTTTCCTGTGAGACATCTATCAGAGGGTTTCTTTATCCATGTCAGAGGAAGGGCATCCAGAAAATCAAATGTAATTTAATTTTTTCTTAAAAAAAATAAAGGTAGGTTTGGAAGAGACTGAGAAACAGCTGTCTTGGCTGCATTAAAAGCTGAGAATTAGTAGCAATGTTCTGACTTGAAATTTAGGTCTTGTGATTTCCTTCCAGGAGATTTTTCACTGCCTGAGAAACCTGTCTGCAATGCACTTATTATTTAATTCAATCTTAATTGGATATAAACCGTCAAAATCTGAGGGATTGTTGGAGGGCCTAAAAGTGCACAAAGTTTTCTTTTCTTTTTTTTATGGTAATATCAATCACCTACAAGAGGGAAATGTCCTTCCCCAAGACACTAAACCTTTGCAGCATATTTTACGTTCATTTTGCATTTCTTTCAAATTTTAAAGTTTTAGCAACATAAAATTTAATCTCTAGAGTATATGCCCTGCCTCGGGGAAGATTCAGCCATTTTTAAAAGTAGGCTAGGCTTTTGTGCTCAGAGATGTATATTTTAGTAATTCTCCACGTGGATTAGTATGTCTTCGTTGCTACGAGAGATGATTCAGGCTTCATCTCATAATAAGACCCCTTGGAGACAAATAGGATGCTAAGGAACCTACATACGGTGAACACCGGCTCCCTTAAAGAGCCGTAATTTGGCCAGAATCCCTGAGCGCTATGAAGCCACCGTCTGATGGAGAAGGAAATGCCCCGAGTCTTTTCCTGTGCGAAAGATGTAAATGACCGGCTTGGAGAGAAAGCTAGGGAAAAGGGTTCTTTGGGTCACTCACTGCTTCTAGCCCGGTCGCCGTCGTTCGGAGAACATTCAAAGGGTAGGACCACTTCTATTGTTATCCGGGTTGAGACAAAGGCGGGGTAGGAGGGAGGAGGGCGGGCGTGGTGACCACCCTCTCGGTTGCGTGGGTTGGGCAAGGAGGGGAGGGATGGCAGGGCGGGATTTGTTTTGTTTTGCTTTGCAGCCGGCTTTCCCCGAGTCCATCCCGCCCCCGCCGGGAGCGCAGCGAGGACGCGGCGAGGCAGCCGCAGCGGCCTCTGCGTCAGGAGGCGGCGCGGCCGGGAGGTGCGGCGCCCGGCTGGGCGACCTGGCTCTTGTCCCCTGGCGCCCGCAGCCTCGCCCTCCCCCGCAGCCTGTCGGCGGCCGCAGCTCGGGCGGGCCGGGCACGTGGGCGCCTCCGTCACACCCTCACTCACACACACACACACCCCCGCGCGCACGCACCCGCGCGCCTGCATCCCGTGCTCTCTCCCTGGCCGACACACAGGCGCTCACGAGTCGCTCCTGGCCCCGGCCCGCAGGACAGCGACCCCCCTCCACCCAGACTCAGGGCCCGCCCTCGGCCAGCAGCGCCTGCTCTCCAGACGGCTCCTCGCGCCGGCGGGTCGCAGCCACCTGGCCCGACTCTCTGGCCACTGCTGCTACTGTCGGCACTTGGAAACAGCCCAGAGGCGTCCGGCCAAGGCACCCTGAGGGTGAGGACACGCTCCTAGCGCTGAGGGCACGGTTTAGGTAGGGTGGGGCTCAACTAGGCACCCTGGAGCCCGGGACCCGGGAAGGGAGCGGAATTGATGCCTGGATGCCGGGAAGGACTCGGGATGTGTCCGGGGGGTGCGGGGAGGCAGGGCGGCTCCAAAGCCCCGGGAGGGCGAAGCTGGGCTCTGCGTCCTGCACCTGTGCATAGTCAGGGTGGGGAGCGGGGGCTAGGAGCGGCTCGTAACCGGGAAGCACATGGGTCGAAACGTGCCGCCATCCTTCCTTCCTTCCTTGTGACCGCAGCATCCCCGAGGGACTAGTTTCCAAGTCAAAGTAGAGCTGGCCGCAGGGTGGGGTCCGAGTGGGCCAGTCAGAAAGTTGCGAGGGTCGGGCCGGAGCAAGGCGCTTCCAAGGCTCTAGGTGAGTTGGAAGCCGATCCTCGTGCGGGTGGGCGGTGGGGCGGGGAGAGGAACCAACCTCATTCCTCATTCGCTTCTGGGGGCTTTTGCAACTGCTGAAGGCGACTACCTAAGGCGGGGTGGTTTCACGTGACCCCGGTTCCCTTTTCCCCGAGGTATCCTGCGTTAAATGGTCCCAAAGTGGGGCCTTTCTCCCGCACCAGGCACGCGGCTCCCCCAAGAAAAGCACAGCTTGTGGGTTTCTGCGCCTCCAGGGATCGGAGAGGGTGTTGGTGAGGGTGTCGGTGCTGGGATTTAAAGGAGAGGATGGGAGAGATTGAAACCCAGACCACGAACTCGGCGGGTTTGTGCGTGTCCTGGGCAAGAGGACCGTTTTCACTTTCCGTCGGAACGCGCCTTGTAAATATAAATGGATCAAAAACGTCCGACCTGTCCTGGGGACAGGTGTGACCCACCCGCTCTCAGAGGCTCCAGCGGCGGGAATCCTTTGCCGTTGAGCAGAGAAGCGGCGTGCGTGGCGCGTTCACAGCGAGCGGGGAAGCCGGGCTCGCGCTCTCCGGCGCCGAGCCCTCCCGGTTCCCTTCTCCCACCTCCCGGAGAAACTGTGGAGTAGGACGAGGCGGGGTCCGCACTCGGCGCGGTGACGTCAGCAGTGTTTGGGTGCTTATGCAAATGAGGCTGCGACCGCTCTCCGCGGACCGGCCGTTTCCCCTCCAGGTCTTAAAGGTACACCCAGGCTCAGGCTGCGCAGTTTGTTTGGTTCACTGCCCAGCAACACGAGAGGACCGGAGGGGTTGCGTTCTGTGCTACATTTGGGCTTTTTGTCTCCCAGTTTTTAAAGCAGTCTTATACCTGTCATTGCCTGGTTGTCGTCCCGGAACACAGGGAACAACGTGTTTGCTTTAAGAAATATCATTTTCTGACGAATAACCCAATGGTTAGTCTCAGTTCTGCAAGAACCACACTGCAGCTTAAGTCTTCAACGCCTAGTATTGGGTTGGACTTGTAGTAGGTGTTTAATAAATACTTGTTGATGGACTCAAGGGTGTGTGGATTTCTCTTATTAAATTTGGAATATTCAACCATCAAAATAGTCTATTTTTTTTTTTTTTGGAGATTATGAGTGACTTTTGCGTCTTACCTGATCAGTGATCCATATATATTGGTTAGCGTAAAATATGTTATCAATATATTACTGAATTCTTTGACTTTGCCCACAAGTGAAAAGAACACTGTTCTTTTTTTTTTTCCCTCAGAAAGACAGGACTTAAGTGTTTTAAAAGGAAGACAACCTCATCGTTTGTTGGCAAGCTTTCTTTTTCTGATTGCACGTTATGTACTTGATTAGAGAATTACGTTGGTGACCCAGGTGGTAAAGAATCTGCCTACAGTGCAGGAGACCCGGGTTCAATCCCTGGGTTGGAAGAGCCCTGGAGAAGGGAATGAAAACACACTCCAGTATTCTTGCCTGGAGGATTCCATGGACAGAGGAGCCAGGCGGCTGCAGTCGATGGGGTGGCAAACAGTATAACACGACTGAGCGACTTTCACTTTATATTTCAATATATGTAACTCGATACTGTATTTTAATGGTATTAAGAAAGGTATTTATGTTTTTAGGAAATAAGTGCTATGTCATCCAGTAAATAAAGTAAATCAGAAATACTGTCAGTCTAGTTCAAGTTGCTATAACAAATTACCATAAACTGGATGGCTTATAAATAAAATAAATTTATTTATCACAGTTCTAGAGGCTGGTTCAAGATCAAGGTGCATCAGATTCCATGTCTGGTGGGAGCCTGCTTCTTGGTACCTGCTTCTGCTGCTGCTAAGTCGCTTCAGTCGTGGCCGAGTCTGTGCGACCTCATAGACGGCATCCCACCAGGCACCGCCATCCCTGGGATTCTCCGGGCAAGAACACTGGAGTGGGTTGCCATTTCCTTCTCCAGTGCATGAAAGTGAAAAGTGAAAGTGAAGTCGCTCAGTCGTGTCCTACTCTCTGCGACCCCATGGACTGCAGCCTACCAGGCTCCTCCGTCCATGGGATTTTCAGGCAAGAATACTGGAGTGGGGTGCCATTACCTTCTCCTGGTGCCTAGAGGATGCTTTCTCACTGTGTTCTCACATGGTGGAAGGGGCTAATTAGTTCTCTAGAGGCTGATATTCACCCCTAAAGGCTTCATTCACCTCTTAATACCATCACACTGGGGTTAGAATTTCAACATATATGGGATGGGGGGAGGACACAAACATTCAAACCATAGCAAATAGTAAAGAATTTTTAAATTGGATGATAGCTATTTCAGATACCAGTAATCAGGTGAGATGCCTTAGTTGTTATTGAAATTTTAAATCAAGTTAAAATAATTATTAAAACCTAAACTTTATAAACATTAGTTTACCCAGTGATCACAGTTTAAATTTTACTGTGTACGTGTTAGAAAATAGGTTTCCCCTGTCATAACAGAAGACTTTTGTTTGAGAAGACATAAATTTGCATTCCTTTGAACTCTGGGGTTATCATACAGGTAATTAAAAAACCATTGACTTAGAATGATAGACCTGAGACTTCGTGATGAAAAGCACCACAAACTTTCACTTCTTAATTTACTTCTCAACTTCTTTTGAAGAGTTCATTAACCCCTTTATTACTGCATACATATACATGATGGACTGTGTTAATATATTGCTATGCAAAGTCGATTTTAAAATAGTTTCTGAGCAGATGGTGTTATTAACAAAATCCGTGAGCATAGTCTCATGTGGGCAAACATTTGAGGTTACATAGCAGGAATCCTTAAGATTTATTTCCAGTTTTGCCTGTAACTTAAAACAAGTCCTAACTACTCTTGTGGGAATATTGATTAAATAATTTTTAATAAACAAATTTATCTGCTTATACATTAACTTTGACCAATAATAATTGTCTCATATTTCTTGATGAACAGCAAGCCCTAGAGACTGTGGTACATGGTAGTTTTAAATGCACAGTACCACTTGATATACTGGGCTTTCCAAGTGGCTCAGTGGTAAAGAATCCACCTGCCATTGCAGGAGACACAGGAGACAGAGGTTCAGTCCCTGGGTTGGAAAGATCCCCTGGAGGAGGGCATGACAACCCACTTCAGTATTCTTGCCTGGAAAATCCCGTGGATAGAGGAGCCTGTCTAAAGTCCATGGGGTAACAAAGATTTGGACACAACTTAGCGACTGAGTACCCACACAAGCATACTACTTGATATAGGATAGAACTCTTCTCAGTTTTGAAGGTCAATTTATTTACTTGTGGATAATGTGCTAATATATCCTTTCACATAAGATTAATTGATGGCCATCTTTGAATAGAATGTTTAACTTGGAAGCTTTTTCACCTATCAGATTGGCAAAGATCAAAAAGATTACTCACTCTACTGAAGAAGACAGGGAACCAGGCACTATGATACTTTGCTTATGGTAGTGCAAATTGAGACAGCTTCTATAAAGGGTAGATTGTCAGTTTTTACTAAAATGATAAAAGCACATACCTTTTGATCAAGCAGTTCCACTTCTAGGAATTTATTCTACAGATACGCAAATATCAGATACATAAAGTGAGTTTCTTGACCATTTGAAGCCAACTTTCAGAAATAACCTGTATATGACATTCTCATCCCATGATCTATCATGTAATCATTAAAACACACACACAATAAGCTAGTGTATTGACAGCAAAAATTTTAAAAGGTCTTTAAAGTGGAAAATCAAGATGCAGAATAATACATATAGTATACAGTAATAGTGATGTAAAAAGAAAGACATGGGTAGATGGAACAAAAACACATAGTAGCTTGAATATTTATATTAACTTGATTATATACCAAATATCTGTGGAGGAATTTGGTGACATAGAAAGATAGGGGTGGGGCTAGGTGTGCTGGGAAAAAAGAGTGGGAAGACGTTTTTCTCTCTATGCCTGCCATTTTGCTGTGTTCAGTCAGTTCAGTTCAGTCGCTCAGTCTGTTCAATTCTTTTAAACCCCATGGACTGCAGCACACCAGGCTTCCCTGTCCATCACCAACTCCTGGAGCTTGCTCAAACTCATGTCCATTGAGTTGGTGATGCCATCCAGCCACTCATCCTCTGTCGTCCCCTTCTCCTGCCAAGTTCAATCATTCCTAGCATCAGGGTCTTTTCCAGTGAGTCGGCTCTTCACAGCAGGTGGTCAAAGTATTAGAGTTTCAGCTTCAACATCTGTCCTTCCAAAGAATATTCAGGACTGATCTCCTTTAAGATGGACTGGTTGGACCTCCTTGCAGTCCAAGGGACTCTCAAGAGTCTTCTCCAACACCACAGTTCAAAAGCATCAATTCTTCGGTGCTCAGCTTTCTTTATAGTCCAACTCTCATTCATACATGATTACTGGAAAAATCATGGCTTTGACTAGATGGACCTTTGTTGGCAATATAATGTCTCTTCTTTTTAATATGCTCTCTAGGTTGGTCATAACTTTTCTTCCAAGAAGCAAGCGTCTTTTAATTTCATGGCTGCAATCACCATCTGTGGTGATTTTCGAGCTGCCCAAAAAATAAAGTCTCTCACTGTTTTCATTGTTTCCCCATCTATTTGCCATGAAGTGATGGGACCAGATGCCATGATCTTAGTTTTCTGAATGTTGAGCTTTAAGCCAACTTTTTCACTCTCCTCCTTCACTTTCATCAAGAGGCTCTTTAGTTCTTCTTTGCTTTCTGCCATAAGGGTGGTGTCATCTGCATATTGAGATTATTGATATTTCTCCCAGCAATCTTGATTCCAGCTTATGCTTCATCCAGCCCAGCATTTCTTTTGATGTACTCTGCATAGAAGTTAAATAAGCAGGGTGACAACATATAGCCTTGATGTACTCCTTTCCCAAATTTGAACCAGTCTGTTGTTCCATGTCCAGTTCTAACTGTTGCTTCTTGACCTGCATACAGGTTTCTCAGGAGGCAGGTCAGGTGGTTGTTATTCCCATCTCTTTAAGAATTTTTCAGTTTTTTGTGATCCACACAGTCAGGCTTTGACATAGTCAATAGGATTATACATTGGAAGTGACAAATAGATTGAAGGGATTAGATCTGATAGATAAG